GCAATGTTAATCCAGCAAGTGAGTGGTCAATTAGCTCTCATACGTGGGATAAGGTGAAGACTACAAGCAGGAGTCCCACTGGTGCTGTGATTGCATGGCTAAGCTTGGAGGGAGTCATTCAGCAGAGTGGGATGAGAGCTGCTGAAAACATAGCTGCTTTCTAATCTAGCAAGGCTTGCTATTTTCATCACTTGCGTTATGTGTTGCACTTTCTAGATTTAAATAAAAATATAAATGATGACTGACTCTGGAGGGTAGAGGGTGTTTTTCACAGTGGAGGAAGCCTGGGCTAAGGACTGAAGCGTGGGTCAGGATACAGGACTCCTGCACTGCTTCTGTCTGATGCTGCCAGTTTGTGTGACCTCGGGCAGCTTGTCTTTCTGCCTGTGCCTCTTTTTCAACCTGGACATTGCTGCACCATGGTGCTCTTTGCAGCAGAGGAAGCGTTGCAGAAAGTGAATCCCTTTATTTTACAAGAAAAATGGGAGTGCAGCAGCCCATGGCAGCTGCATAGACCAGCAGTATAATGCGGGCAGCTGACCGTCTACAAAGACGACTGTTGTCAGCTGCTGGTCAGGGTAGCTACAGGGGGGAAAGGGCTGCCTATGAGTCAGAAAGCAGGTTATGAGTGAGTTCCTCAGCTCTGACAGCCCTTTCAAAATGAGCCATCATTTGGGAATTGACCAGGATATGCCATTCACAGTCCTCAGGCTATGGTGGGAAAGCAGATTTTGCATGTATCTTGCGTAGTAGCGTTGCACTGTGGTGTCTAGGATTTTCGACCTCAATTCTTGCTTGAGCTCTTAATGCGAGGTCTGTTCACTCAGTGTTCCCCTGTTCTGCAGATGCTGGTTTGTGTTTATGCTTGTCACTGACTTCTGTGCATTAGTCCACTCCAATATGAGCCTTTCTTTGTCTTTCATCCATATCTGATTGAACAGCCTCGTGACAACATCCCCATTTTTTAAAGTGAAAAAAAAATTTTTTTTCTCTTAAAATTTTTTTCTGCATTTACCCCACAAGTGAAAAAATTTCCATAGTGCATCACTGCCACCCTGAGATGCTCTGACTTTGTTGTTGGTGAAAACAGCATCTCTGCCTTCTGGAGGCATCTGAATTTGATGGGAACCTGCAGCAATCAGACAGCATTGCAGAAGATTGCTGAGTACCCCTCCTTGAGCTCTGCCAGAGCAGGACAGCACAGTAACAGTGCAAGGAGACTGTGGTCTCTCCTGCAAGCACTTTGTAAGGAAGAACACTCCTCCCTTCCTCAAGGCTAAAATAAAAACAGACTCAAAACAAATACTTACAGACTTGACCACAGCTCAACAACCAGTGCACTTCTCACTCATCTAGCAAGATGAGCATTTCAGTCCTGGTTATTTCCAGTGAAACCAAGAAAATAAGAGGTTATTGGGGCACAAAGCAACTGCCCTTGATACTTCACATTTCTCTGTTGTGCTTCCCTTGCTCTTACCCTTCATCATCATGAACAGTGTGCTAGCTTAGCCACCCTTCAGTGCAGAGCATCTGCTCTGGCTCACAGCAAGGGAGCTGCCTACAGCCCGACTTCACTTTAGGGTGCCTGGCACGCTGGAGTAGGTTGCCTGTGTTCGGCTGATTTGATTTGCTCCTAACGAGCAGGTGAGTGATTATGTTTTCTCTTGCTGCACAATAATTCTGCTGCGAAGGCAGGCTGCCCTGCCTTGTGTTTCACAGCAGCCGCATCTAACAAGGTTGTTGGAGGAGTCTTGCTCCTTCTACGTTGCCTAGAACGGTAATGTGCTGCCCTCTTCACCCCTTTCGTCACTCCTCTTGCTAGTTAGCTCTTCTAGACTTAAGCTGTGTGCCAGAGCAAACAGTAATCGTCTATATTTGTTTGCTGTGTTTCTTACCAGGGGATCCCTGAAGCCCTGTATATGCAGAGAGGTTTTTTACCTCCCTCTTGAAGCGTAGCAACCTGCTACGGCTTAACAGAGCACTTCAGCTGCATGCACTGGAGTTCAGGGGAGACACTGAAAGGCATTTGAGGAGCCTCTGGACAAGGACCCTCCTTTGGAACTGGGTTAAAACTGGGACTGATACCCAAGCTCCCCAAAGAGCACTATGGCAGCTTAGAGAGCCAGAATAGCCAGATACCGCTGTACTGAGCAGAACAGCTCCCTTACAGCCAGCAGGGGTGCTGCTTCTCTGTGGGTATTACAGGCACCTGGAAAATCATTATCATTTCCTCCAGCTCCCTAAAGGTGTCTGTGCAGGAGTTGTGTTGGAGGTCTCTGCTCTGAGACAGTCACCATCTCAGGTGTACCGGAGCTGTTCAGTTCCCAGTTATGGGGAGTAGGGGCACCGGCTCATTTAAACAATCTTTCTTTTGCATTTATACCAGGGATGAGAAAAGGCTGTGTTGTTATCTGCTACGATTTGCAGTCTGAATCCTTGCCTTGGTGGTTGTCTCCCTTTTGTGTGTAAACTACTTGAACAAGTATGGGTCCTCAGTAGGCGTTGGAGGCCAGAGCTGATGTCTGGCTCTGTAATTGCTGTTGACCTTTCTTTGCTTTCATATCCATTGGCAGCCTTCAGCAACAGCTGCCCCTTGCCACAGTACTGCATGCATCCTTTGCAGTGATGGGATGACCTGCTTCAGCACTCTCTCCAGAAAACCCAGGGGCTCCAGCACTACCTGCAGAGTTAATGCTCATTGGGTGTTTCTTAGTGCTAGAGACGGGAGAAAATGTAATCAATTTTCACTGTATAGGCACTTTCAGACATTCCCTTCACAAGGTGATAACACAGGCCCAGAGCCTGTCCCAGTGCAAATCAAGTAAATCCCATTTCCCGGCTGAAGAAGATTAAATATCTTTGGCATCCTTGGTTGCCCTGCTGTTCCTGTGACCTAAGGAAGCATCTGGATTGTCCCAGCTCTGCTCCTCCTCTGTGACCCTTTAGCGGCCCCAGATGCTCCCTCTGTGAGTCTCAGGGGGCACTTTCCTTGCAGCGTGTGTCCTTGCAGGGAGCACTTTGTCCAATTTCAGACCTTTTCTCTTCCTCTGTCCCAGCTCCATACACAAGCGCCGCTCAGTGCCATAAGAGAAGCTGCTCTCCCACCCATCTCTCTCCTCCTCATGAGATAGATTGCTTTGAGTACATCTGGAGCTGCTGTGCCATTTTTTTAAGCCTTTCTTTCTCTTTTCTCTCCCCTTTTTCTCCCACCAGCTTCAATTAAGGAGCAGATGTGACCAAGAAATGGGATAGCAGCTAGGGATGGAGATGACACATTCATGGCACTAGGTCTAATCAAACAACTTCTCACATTATTCTCACCGTGAGGTGAGAGGCATGTGAGCCAAAGGCAAGTCAGCGCTTGGAGCACCCACAGAGACACATTGCTAGCAAAGTCATCTGTAATGAGCTGACCATGCCACTCGGCACGGCAACGTGAGCTCAGTCAAGGGCTGCTTTTAATCCACTTAAGTGCAGCAAAGGGCCCAGAGGCTGAGAGTTGAGAACAGGTACCTAGAAAACAATCAGCCACTGTCAAACAAGGGCTGCCAGGTGGAGGGGATGCTTGTACGCTGCGTACCCACAGATGCATCTGTGTCCCTGGGAGAGGGGACACTGTGCATGCACCACCTTCATCTGCAGTGAAGATGGAGATGTCACTAGTGTTACAGAGCTGTAGGTGGGTCTTGCTGGGGTCAGGCTATGGGAGGGGAAAGACTGGTGTGCTAGAGCCCTCTAGGCACGCTGTGTTCAGGGCAGCAGGGATGCTGTGTCACCCATGGCTCCTGGTGGAGCTGTGTCTGTGGCACTGCAGATGCTGTGTGTTGCAGGTTTTTGAGCCTGGCTGTGCTTGGCAGCTCTGTGGACTTTTAGAAGAGGCAGGTACTTTGTAGATCTGTAGTGCACAGAAGTTGTCTGTGGAAGAACAGGTGCTTTGAACCTGGAGGTGAGTTGTGATTGTGCTGGAGCTGCTATAAATCTGTTCTTCCTCTTTTACATTCAGGCTAACAGCTGTTTTGTGTTCAGGAAGCCTTTCTCATTTTAGAGGGAGAGCTTCTGGTTATTCCCCTGCTGTAGTGTTTTAATTAAGAGTTTATTGCAAGTAAAACATGTCCATCAGACAGCTGTGGAGATTCAAGTCCTCTGCCATTGCATTACATAAGGGGTAACGCAAGCAATACCAGTCCAGATTTTCTCCTTGCTCTGAGTCAACCATGCCCAAATCATGAGGTTCCTGTATATTTTTACAGGTGCTAAAGAACAAGACTTAGTAGCCTCCTTTTCCTAAGGAGGTAGCCACACATCACCATTCTCACACTGCTGGCAGAGAAGCTGACATGCAGAGATGTGACTCACCTCCCAGCATCGGGGAATTGTTGCCAGAGATAAAAATAGGACCCAGAGTCCCTGTAGCCAGTCCCTGATGTGTTGTATTGATGTATTTGGGAGAGGCCTTCTAACACCCCTTCAGGTCTGTGCTCTGTGGGGACAGCCAGTGCGTATCCCTTTATCTGAACACAGTATCTCCGATAACCCTGTCAGATGTTGACCAGAACAACACAAATGTAACTGCTTGGGAGCATACCTGCCTGCTCAGGGAGTGCAGTTTATGCTGAGTATGAGGACTATGGTTATCCTGATTAGGATCTGAAGATTGAATCCCAGCTGTGGTGCTCAGCTGCTTGAGTTGCACTTCTCACATGAAAGAGCAGGGCTTGGTAACTCCTCCAAGCAGTGCCTGACTGTGGGATGAGTGCTTGCTAAAGGCCAAGGCCACTCCTACCTAATAAATGTGAGGGAGGTGGCCCCAGCCCAGTCAGAAAGGTATGTCAGATGACTATTGCTGCTTTTTGGATGAAGCCTGGTTCCTGCTAGAAAATAAATATCCTCTTGGACATCATAGGTGCCTGTCTCCTCAGAGGCACCACTGGGGTGACTGTGCTGAATGAGACGGCTGCTCCCTGACAGCCTCCCCGTCTGTTGCTCTGTTCGGTCTCCAGTCCCCCCCGTGGTGGAGCCGGCCTTCCAGGACGTGCGCCAGGGCATGGGGCGCAGCGTCACCCTGCGCTGCGCCATGCTGAAGGGCAGCCCCATGAAGGTGGCCACCTCCGTCTGGCGCTTCAACGGGACCCTTCTGGCGCAGCCCCTGGCAGAGCAGCAGGACTACTCAGAGCTGAAGGTGGACAGCGTGAGCCGGGAGACCAGCGGTAGCTATGAGTGCAGCATTTCCAACGATGTGGGGGTCTCCACCTGCCTCTTCCAGGTGTCTGGTAAGTCACAGAGCGCACATTGGAGCAAGCTGTTGGATGGGGTCATGGAGGTGGGAAGCTTGCTCCCAATAAACTGGTGCCAGTATGAGCAATCTCTACTACCTTCTGTGCACAGCGCTGTGTTCAAAAGGGATGACTTTCCATAAGCCAACAGGGAGATCGGCCTCCATCATTCAGGCGGTCCTCCAAGTCCAGGATGGACCTGGGGCAGTTAGTGGCAGCCACTGGTACATTTTAGCAATGTTTGACCACTCGTCTGAAAGATACAGGACTTAAACTTGAGGCTGCCATCAGCTTTCAATCTTGGACAACCTGTATCGTAGATAAGTATTGACCAAGGGGGAGTGAAAGGCTCTACATCCCCCTCAGCAGCCTCCAAAATCATATAATATCCCCTTTAAAAACAAACAAACAAAAAAAACCTGTATTATATATTCCTGTACCTTCCCTGTGTCCCCTGGCTGTCTTTGTGTAGTGATGCCTGCTAGGACAAACATGAGCTGGGAATGGATACTAGTACTCAGTGGATTTGCTGCTCACAGTTTTCTGTGAATCCAGCAAGCACCATAACAGCAGGACTCCTCTCCAGCACCTGCAACTGCAAAGAGGGATGGCAGAGTTATAGCATCTAAAACCACACATCTGACCTAGCCTCTCCAGCTGATCATTAAATCTGCTTTTCCCATGACCCCAGAATTGACTTGGGCACCGGTTTCTAGACAAGCTCCCCGATGAAGTTGCCTTAATAAGCAGTAAATTCAGCCAAAATACTGGGTTTTCAGTCCAGGGTCAGTTTATAATATTTTTCAAGTTAGGGCTGAACAAATGAGAATAAATAACATCCAGAGAGGCCTGATTTTGAAGCAGATCTTTCCCAGGGTCCCAGCTTAGGTATGCTGTAACTCTGAGATGCTCTCAGAAATGGGGAAGCCCAAACCACTTCTACTGTTTGGACCTCTTTTCAGGACCTTGCTCCCACCCCTTGAGATCTCCTGGAATTTGTCTGGCAGTGGATTTTGCTTGAGAGCTCTGGCCCTCTCCACCCTTTCTTCATATGCTTGCAACTGTCACGTCACTAACTAAATGATGGCAAACCATATCCCACTATGAGCCACCGTGGCAAACTTTGTCCCTAGCAAGCTTGGGAATGCTCCCAGGATCCAAATTTCTTGCTGGAAGTAGCAGCAAATACATATTGCCACCCAGTGTGCCATACTGTGCCCCACAAGATAAAATCCCCTCAGCAGAAAGCAGCGTCCATCCCTAGAGTGCACGCATCAGGAAAGCAACAAGCATTTTTTTTTTCCTGCATCCCTTCTCTGTTTCCAAGGCATTGATATCTGATGGTGGCTTTCCAGCTCCAGACGTCTCTGCCTGTGTCCTGGACAGCTACAAATCAATTAGACCTTCTGAGCCTATAGAGCAACCTAAAAAATAATCCAGTGGCTAGACTGCTGTGCTTGGGCTCAGGACCACTGGAATTTTAATTCCCATCTGCCACAGCCTTCCTGAGTCAGCGGGGGGAATGGCATAGTCTCTTTGTGTTTCTGTTTCTCCTCTATGAAAGAAGGACCATAAACCTTCCTATCTGACAGGGAGGTGGTGACTCATTTGTGACTGTGAGGCATTCAGATATACTGGAAACAGAGTACATAAACCAACCTAGGATGGGATTAGTTTCTTCTGTGGATGGGAGATTAGCTTTCTGAGATGTTCTGGAAAGATAGTGAGACATCCAACCCACTCCCCTTGAGCACTTGCTCAGGGCAGCCCATACTGGTCACCACCTGCTCTCCTACTAGCTACAAGCACAGAAAAGCCCCCAAAGATGGAGTCAATAACCTTCAGCTCTTCCCATCAACTGTAAGCAAAAGACAAAACTTTCCAGCAATGGTAAAAGTTTCCAGGAAGGAAGTTCCAAAAGTATCTTGATGTGCTGCATTTCTATTAGAAGGCCTTTTTTTTTTTTTTTAAGTTTCCGAGTTTCCGTTTCCATCTTGGAGTCAATTAATAAGGAATTAATATCATGCAAGATGATGATTATCATCAGTTCTGATTTTATTTCGGAATCTATTATGAAGCTTGACTTCCACAGTCAATACAAGTTGAATAAGCAGCAATTAGTCTCTGAGGTGGTTCTGAACTTCTTGCTTGTGCAAAAATTCAAGTCAATAAAAATAATAAGAAAAAAAGAACTTGGAAATAAACATCAATATTATCCATCTGAGTTCATAAAAAATAAACATTGAATCCTTTCGAGCCTAATTATAACCACACAGAATGGCAGGGCCTGTGATTCAAGTGGAAAGGTGCAGCAGACTGCCTGGGGACATGGCATTTATGTCTGTTCTGCTCTCCAGCATCCCTTGCTGCCCAGGCATCTTTCTGGTCTGTGCAGATCCAGACTGGACCTGAACCCAGAAAGGAGAGTTTTGGTTCAGGCCCAGCTCCTGCCTGGCCCAGGACAGGACCTGCCAAGAACTGAAGTGCACAGGGTGAAATGAAGGTAATTTCAAATAGGGCAAAACCAGTTGTGGGTAAGACCTCAAGTTGCTTCTGGGCCCTGTGCATTAGTCCACCAACTGCTGGGCTGCATGGCAGTAGCCTTCAAATCATGTTTGTTAGCAGTTCAGGACAGCAGCGGCTGGGGAAATGATGGGAAATCTCTTCTTCTCCGAACTATCCAGTTTCTCTCTGGCACATTGTTTCTCCTGTGTTTCCCTTCCTCCTGCTGCCCTCGCTTTTTAAGGGGAGACGTGGGTGTAGAAAAAACATCTCCACCCCTGCAAAAGCTCCCAGTGTTTTTCCCTGGCTGAGGTCACCATCCCTTTTGCCGTTGAGTTGACTGTCGTGTTACAAAGAGGCTGGAGCACTGTGTTGCCAAGGCAGGGGAGATGCAGAAGGAGCAAGGTCTCCTTTTTAATGCCATGATCCCTGTGTGATAAGTAACACTTTTCCTATGACCTACTGGCCAAATGATCTTTCCTCAGGGTTTGTTAGCAGGAGACTCTGTAAAGCAGCAGATGAAACAGGAGAAATGCCAGTTTAAAGCTGCTACTTCAATCTAAACTACAAGAGAGAAAAGATTAGAGCTGGTTCCAGCTGGAGAACTGAAGTTGTTCCCACCTTCTCTGGTGTCAGTCATGCCCCACTGGTGTTGCAGGGCTGCTAACCCTCCCAGTGGTTTAGGCTGTGAAAGCAGTAGTGATTCACAGAAAATGATGGCATGTCAGTGCAACACCAGCCACAATAGTAAAGGTGTCCGTCATGTCAAAGGCAAATGGATGAGCTGGGCAAGTGGAGCTGTTTCACCACATCTCTTTGTAATTTATGTTCCCCTTGATCCCACTCTTTTACTTTCCTCCCTCTTTTTTTTTCCCCCCCTCCAGCAAAAGCTTACAGCCCAGAGTTTTACTATGACACTCCCAACCCCACCCTGAGCCAGAAGCAATCCAAGAATTACTCTTACGTCTTGCAGTGGACACAGAAGGAGCCTGAAGCTGTGGATCCCATCCTCAAGTACCGCCTGGAAGTCCGGCAGGTAAGGTCTGCTCTGCTGGAGCCTCAGCGCGTGCCCTTGGGAAGAGGACCTCTCAGGAGGCAGTTACATCAATGTCTCCTAGCTGATTAAGAGCCGAAGGTGATGAAATTGCCAGACCATGATGGTCGTGCATCTTCCCCATCAAATGGAAGAGACAGGCCAAGTGCACAGCTTGGCATCTGTTTTTACGTTTGGTGTTGGGTATGATCAAGGGCTTTCAAAGCCCTGCTGCCTTCCATTGGACTGTTCATGCTCAGTGTTTTGAATAGGGTTTTAATGTGAGCAAAACCCCACAGTCATTAGTAGGTATTGTAGATTTTATAGGCCAAAGACTCAAGCGAGTGGAATTCCACCCTCCTTGCTCGTATGAAATAAAGGGAATAAGCTGAAGAGCTCTCCAGGCAGGAACTGCAGGAAAAAGTCATCAGCTGTTTGTGTTGCAGAAGGGCTTTCATACTGTCACAGTAATGAAGCTATTTGGACTGTATAAACTCTGCAGGGGAAGAGAAGTAGGTTCCAAGGTTTCTGAGTCTGAAGAGAGATCATACTGGGCGGGGAGGAAGAACTGGGAAATCTGAAGAGATCACTGGTTGTGGAAGGTTAGGGAAAAGAGTCTGGTGTTTTCAAAGAGCACATTTACCTAGCAGGATTGCCAGGTACTTTCATCCACGCTCAGCAAAGCGCTGCGTTCAACATCTTTTTAAAATGGGGACACTTAAAATTGGTGTTTGTTGCCATTCAGTGGTAGCTTGCAAGCAAATGCATTTTGCAAGGAAAAGTTTGTTTACTGTAGATAGAAAACAAAATAATTAAAAAGATTCAAATGTCTCTTTCCTCTAGTACTGCACAGTAGGCTCCAGTTTTATGTCTCCATTTGATTGTGAGCTCTCTGGGGTGGGACAGCCTTTGTTTGTTACTCAAACCACGCGGAGCACATTGTCAGTGCTTAATAATAATACAGGACACAGGGGAACCTCTAATAATGAAGGCAGTTTGTCATAGTACCCCTTCCCTCTTAGCCAAGTTTTGCTATTATCAGCACTGCAAATCAATGAACTAATTTGTGATTTTTATCCTTCTCCAGTGATGCTGAGGTTTTTTTCCTTTTGCACAGTGCCTGAAAGTAATCTTGGATCTGTTCCGCATTGAGCTCTTACTGAAAGGGATCAAGAAAAGAGAAAATCACATTTTGGCTTTAAGTTATGACATGAAGGAGGCTGAGTGCCCATGCAAATTTAACACACCCCTCCCCCCCGTTTTGTTCATACCTCATCGGTTACTGCTGTTAATGTTTCTCTTGCAGCATCACTACACAGTTGTGACTGTTGAGTGGTATGTTTTAGAGGAGTGTTATAGCATGGCCCTTCTGTAGCCCAGTCTCATGTATGGGTAGGCTCTTAGAAATGGCTACAGGTGTCATCATAGTGGCCTGGGTCTGAATAAGGGAGGGCAGAGCGAGGAGAAAGCAGGAGAGATTTGTCCCCACTTGGGTCAAGTACAAGCAGGAAACACTCTGGAAAAGGCTTTCGTGGTACTGCCTCCTCCAGCAAAGACACTCACATTTCATGGTGAGGTCTCCACCTCCATGTGCCATACTGAGGTCTCACTGAGCATTTTTCATTTCCTTGTCCCAGAGGATCACATCTCTTCTTGTCTCCAACTTGCCGCTTCCCAGAGCTGCCTCTGTGCTCCAGTCTTGCCTCCCTGGCATTTGCCCCGCGATGTCTCACTTGGGCTCCAAGCAGCCTTGTGACAGCTCCTGACCTGTCACGCCTTCCCTTGCGCTGTCACCCTCTTCCACGTCCCGCAGGCTTTGCTGCTTTGTTGCACCTTCTTCTCCATGCTGGGGCGCCTGGGCTAAGCTTTGTGTCCTGCTGTTCCATCACTGGACCGCAGAACATGGTGACATTACTGAATATAACTGTGAAAAGCTCAAAAGCTTAAAAGCATTGCTGACTGGAGAGCTCTTAAGAAAGGGGATTTGTCTGCCTGAATGAGGAGCTGCTGTTTTTCTGTGTGCCCTCCTCACTGGATACGCTGCCTTCCAGGCACTAGCTATGGTGGCACAAAAATCCTCCTAGAGAGCTAGGACTGAAGTGGAATATTCTCCTCCGATAAAATGGGCCTTACACGTGGCTAGTCATGACTGATTTATTGCCAGCATCAAGCTGATGAAAGCTTACCCAGCCAGCCAGCCCACCTTCTCCTCCAGCCCTGGGAGCTCCCGAGCCTCTGTGGTCGGTGGCAGGTGCTCTTCAGCATCTTAAGGATGAACAGGACAGCAGCAGCAGCCTGCAGTCTCAGGGTGGGGTGAGGGGCTGTCTGGGAGATGTTAACTCCTGCTGAGCTGGAATCCAAAGAGCAGCCAGTTGGGATGCCTACTGGTTGTAAAATGCTTTGCTGGTTTTCATTTTGCTCTCCCCAGTTTGTATGAAGAGATCTTGGTATATGTAATACGAAGATCCCTAAGTAGCAGGATGCTTTGCAAGGCACCTGGGAACCCTTGAATTAAATTTGCGTGCTGCAGCTGCTGAAAATGGGGCTGCGTGAGAGTAAAAGAGCTGCTTATTAATTGGCTGGTGCTGTGGCTCTTCCAACTCTTCCTGTTCAACAGCTTCCGAGGGCTGGTTGGGCATTCTTGGGGGGGATTGCAAGCAGTCTGGGGGAATTTGGTTTCCTAAGCTATGCATAGGGGCTCCCAGCAAGACAGGCAGGTGCATTTCCACAGGAGCTGATTGTTCCCAGCACTGTGGAGCAGGCTGAGCGGCACAGCAGACGTACCAGTTCCAGTAGAATAAGAATTAACTTTCGATTAAAATCAAATAAACAGCCTGACAGCTTGGAGCCACTGACCCAGGCAAAGTGCATACAATAACAACGCAGCAAATAGGCTGTTGTTTGCCGGAATGCATCGGTCAGGTGGGCTTAGGCAGTGGCATTGTGTTGAGTGGCAATTCAGAGGGGAAAACATCCCCGTGGAGGAATGGCAGGGGCCTCACAGACATCTGTCCTGACAGCTTGGGAGGTTTTTCCTTTCTTGCTCCAAGGCAACTGATCCAAATGCCAACCACCTTACTGCACCTTAGCCAGTGAACTTAATGACTTCACAGCCTTCGGTGGTTTGGTTGTGGGCAGATGCCATGAGGCTTTTGGGCTATTTGTTTGGTCAGCTTTTTTTCTGCCATGTATTCTTGTAGCATAGAAAGGCACTCAGTCACTGCACTCCAACTGAAAATGTTTTTCATTGCTTGGGGATTCAAAGCAGCCTCCCCAAACCAGATCTTTGCTTAAAAAATAAAAAGCCTTTTAAGTTGCTTGTTTCTCTCTGTGTATTTTATCCCCTACCAGAGCTCTGCTCTAACATTAAAGAGAAATGAAAAGCCATCTAATATTGCAAGCAGGTTGCATCCTGGAGGAAAGATCTGAGTTGGGCTGGTGGTTACGGTTACAGGGGATAGTGGCAGAATTACTGTGCACTTAATGAGCTGGAACCCATCTGTGACCTGAGGCTGCAAGAGAAAGAGGAAGGAGAAGGTATTGGTGCAGTAGGGAAGTTTAATCTTCATTGTGCCCCTCAAGGAGACCTGAGGCTGCCATCTCCTCCGTACCTTCTGATATGCAGGCTCGGGCCAGAACAGGGCAGGTTAACACATTCCTGCCTTTCCCCTACTTGGAGCAGGCTCAGCTCCACCTGCCAGACAGACCCCTGAAATTTGCACCGGGCCAAGCCCCAGACCCATTTGCTAAATTAGCTCACTGGGTTGTCACTTCAGATTAATTCCCGTCAGGGAGACTGTCTTTAATGAGACTGGCCCTGTGCAATGCCTGAGTAATTGTACGGTCTCTCTTTGTTTGTACTTTCATCCCCTCCATGTTGGATAAACATCCCCTGCTGTCTACAAACTCATCTGGGCTCTGGAGCCGGCTGCCACTTGCCTCATCAGCCAGCCAGAGCAGCATTAATGAGAGCTGCGGCAGTGGGGAGCCGAGCTCACCGTGTGGGGAGGTGGCAGATAACAGAGCTGTTTGCACAGACATAGGACAGGGGCGTTAGCAGGAATTTAATGATTGTGATTAGAGCGGAAGGTTAACTCCACTGATGGCCATCGCAACACGGCGGGAGAGGTTTTATGCTGAGGCTCGTGGGCTGCAGATCTGTATCGCTTCATTTCTGCCTCTGAGTTGTTCTTTTGCTCTCCTCTGAGCCCACTTCAGCAGCGTCTGTCAACTGCTGTCTGTCTTTGGCTTCATTAGCACATGGAGCCAGACGCCCCTCCAAGGGCACGCAGACCAGGGCAGGGACGTCTCTCCTTCTCTTCACGCACCAAGCAGGGGTAGTATGACTCCAAAGGGAGGGTGAGCAAGCAGCGCACCAGCCCATAGTCTTTTACATAAACGTTTAGTTGAGTGCAGCGTTAACTCGCACTGCTATGCTTCCCCCATTCATGCACCACCATGGTTTGATGAACCCACATGCATGGCCCTTGGCACATGAGGAACCAGCCTAGTGAAGTTGGATGTATCTTCCAACGTTTGCAAGTAACCCTGTAATAAAATAAATAGCTAGTTTGTGCAGCCAGGGTAGAACGAACTTCCAGAGCAAGCTAATCCACCCAGCCCTGTATTCATAAGGAGTGAGAACATCCACACCAAAAGCTTGTCTCCTCCCATCTTCAGCAGTAGCCAGTGTCCGGAGAAGAGTATAAAAGCGAGACAGATACATGCAGTATTTTTTCTCTGCTTCTAGATACTATAAGCCCACTTGTTTATGGGGCCCCAGGTTAGGAAAGGCTATGAACACAGAAAGGCAGTGTACTCGAGCAGGTGGTGGTGTACTTGAGCAGGTGGTGGCACTTGCAGCAGCTCAGCCCTGTGCTCTGGGAGGTGAATGAAATCCTTTTTCTTCTACAGACACAACCATGGCTTCAGGCGAAGCTTCTTGGGAAACTGAGCAGCCGGCGCCTCAGGGGGTGGCCTGAGGGCTGCACCTCAGGGCCGGG